CTTAAGTTACATGCAGAGGTTCGGTGTGAGTCACTGCCAGGCGGAGCAGAAACGGCGCTCCGTCTGTGAAATATAACTGTAGCGGCGGTTCAACAACGAGAGCAAAACCAGCGTCTTACACCGCAGCTCGATGACTTAAATTATTTTTCAAGTTAATTGTTTAGCTTTCTGACCGTGATGCTAATCCGGGTGAGTGTTGGTAGTTGTGCGCTGCTTTACTGGCTGCTCCGGATGTCCTTTTTTTCCTGCGTTGAGCCTCAACGTAGCCAAACTCCGTCAAGTACTTGTTTTTCAAACGTCACATTAGATTCGTCGTGTTGATGCATTTTGACGTGCTTCACCCCCGAAGTAAATTTCCACCGCAACACGCAAACTTCCCTGTTCACTCTCAGAGCGTTCCACACCACATCGCTTAGGATTTACTGCTGCGCGCTTGCGCAGTGTGAAGGAAAGAGATCAGCCGCACACGCAGGCTGCAAATAAGATACGGCAACAAGAGACCGTGATCGGCGATCACCGATCATACACCTTTTCACGGAAATTGGCCGATTATGATCGGTGGCCGATCGATCGACACACCTCTACTCATTAAAAAAACAAGCCATGCCATGTCTGGTGGTCTTCTTTGTGGTTGGCGATAGTCACATTTGGTCGTGTGACTTGTATAATGTGAAAATATGTTCTATTGTAATTTTGCAAAATAAGCCAAAACTTAATTGAAAAACAATCAAAATGTCAAATTATGCAATTGTATGGTCAAAAGAAGCACAGCTGAAAAGCGAGGACGGTGTTAAAGGGTTAATAGAGGAGCCATGTTGTGATGACTTCATGAAGGCGGAGGTTCAGAAAGAGCAGGAGTATCTTAAAGAGACAGAGGCCCAATTTCAAGGCACTAAAGAAATGCGATATATGTGTGAGAAATTAAGAAAATTTTATTTCATTATGTAATATTTAGTCATTCTGTTAGGACTAAATGAAGAAAATTGAAAACATAAGCTCACTGTGTTGTATTCTGGACTGTGTTGCCAGAGACAGGAACATCGATTTTCCCATGATGCCACACTAGCAAGCCATCTGAGATGTGTACAACCCAGACAAGAAAGACCTCAGATGTTGTTACGTAGCCATTCACATATTAAAAGGTAATTAATTATTGGCTAGCTAAATTTTTTTATTTACCATCAGTTGTGGTAATTTTGCTCAAAATTGCAGAATTACATGCGTTAAATTTAAAGGGAAGTTAAATGAAGACTCAGGAAGGCAAAAATAAACGGAATGCAAAAGGAATACTTTTTTTATCTAACTTCATTGGATAGTACTATGATATATATATATACATATATATAGTATTTTTAATTTGTTACATAGAACACAAGCTACTTCAGAGTACATACAGTATGGTCAGCAACATATAAAAATATTTTAGTAATATTGGCACAGATGTAGTACTAGTTAAGGTACTATACATGTATGTAAGTAAGAAGAAATCAATGGAAGTTCCTCACAGTGACTTCAAACTTTTTTACATTCAGTTCAAACACAGGAAAGGTAGCTGAGCAACGGTGTAGAGAACACTTCTGTCACATAAATAATTCACGCACTCAGTAAAGGGCGATTGAATACAGAGAGGTTCAAGTCACATAGTTCTGAAGGTTGACAGAGAAACTAAAAAGGATGAGTTGGGTTTGGGGAACACCTCAAAACGCACCATTAGCAACATCAGTTCACTCTTTTACAGCTACTGGGCTGTACGTAGCAAACGCTGTTTTCCACTGTGTGATCAGACTTCAAAACTATCTAAATGTGATTTTGTAACTCTTGCGACAATTTACCCTTCCGACAGAGCAGAAAACTGTTTTGTAGCTAACTTTGAAGGGCACACTCAACCCTTCTTTTCTCTGGATTTATTCTTAGTGGCCAAACGCAGGCTCGAGCCTCATCCAGAGAAAGCGTGTGTATCGGGGTGTGTGAGTAGCAAAACGAGGCATGGCAGCTTTGCGTTGTGGCGTTTTGAAAATGCTTCAAAACTACCGCCAGGTGACTGGAGTCACCAGCTGTGTTTCTATTAACCATAAAAGTGTGTAAATTGAAATTACGGAAATAAATGTGCTCAATGGAATCATGCCAATTCAGAAAAACTTGTGTTCCTCAAAACGTTTTTGCACTAAGATGAGGTGGTTTGTTTCGGTTGTATCAAAATTTTTCGGATCCCACGAATCACATGATCAACAACCAAATGTTACAAAGATAATGACAGAACAGAGGACGAGGATGATGCGTTTTTTTTCTTCTTCAGACATTCATGTCATTCTGCAACATACAACTACAATTTCCCCAAAACGCCTCAGACGTAGCTGCTCCCAAGTAGGCGGGGCTTGTTAGACCAACACCTGAATAAGATGCCAACGTCTCCTCTGATTGACTGATCGATGACGAGCGCTGAATTATGAATACATGTCATGTAAACGTTTACATCTGTCGCTGCCATGATTTTTGAAAACTTGTTGTGTGAACACGTGTGATTTTGATTTGATTTATTATTTAATAGAAAAGCAAATTGCGAAATTGTGTTTTTTCGACATTAGCAGAAAATAGACAAAGATTTGCGCACATTTGTAACAGAAACACAGCTAGTGACTATCACTGCTTACAGTGTAACAGCTTCCCCAACAAAAAAAGCACTTTGTCAAGTTATCAGTTGTTCTGCAAGACAGCGAACAGATGAGACCAGACTTTACCTCTCACGATAAGCGCACGACTCGACCTTCAGACCAAAAGAAGCAAGTGCAATCTTCTAACAGTAACCACACATACACACGAAAAGCTGTTTGTATTCTTTTAAAGCTAGTAGAGGTTGATTCAAGGTTGTCAATAAAGTGCACTTGCCAACAAACCAGTGCAAAGGTTAAAATATATCTCTCTGTATGTACATAAATACATTACGCAGCAGATCCATGTCACGCAGCGCTGCTGGGTATGAAATGCCTAATGAAACGTTTCCAGCTTCAGAAAATGTAAACACAATACGATGGATATGTTGATAAACGGGGGTTTTCACAAAACCGCTTGAAAACCACATCATGCAGTGTGCATGTAGCAAAGAAATAAAAAAAAAATCTCTCATTATGCTGATGACATTTTGATATGCATTATGATGATTTAGAAAACAACATAGGTAAATCATGGCAGTTCATTCAAAATCATTTAAATTTCCTGAAAAATGAAAGCAATGAAACGCTAATCTACCCTTATTAGAAATTTGTGGACGTCAAATGAGGATTTTAATCGAGACATTAAAAAATGTCTCATTAGGAAAATGATGGCTATTAGACCATGTTGTTGTAGTAATTAGTCATGTTTCTTTCTCTCGTTATATAAGCTTGATTATATTAGTGAGCCTGTTTACTGCCTGTTTGTCTCATAACTAATAGAGATCCTTCACAATAAGTTGATCTAATAGCTTGGGGTAGTCATGCCTCTACAAATAATTGGACTAAATAATCAGCTCAACTGTCTGACCGAGCCTCAGCCTCAGTAGCTACCAGATGGACAAAATCATTTAGATAAATACTGGAAGAGTAAATGCACCAAGCAGCATATTTTTGATAAAAGTATTTCAGAACCAAACCAAAAAACTTACAAAAGTTTTTCAGATTTTAGTTTTTTAAGTGAAGCCACCAGCATGTTGATCATAGTGAATCTTATGGCGCCGTATTAGGGTCAATGTGGATACATACATTTCTGTATGAAAAAAAACAATTGTTTTTTTTGTTTTTTTTAGAAAAAAAAAGGACATTAATGAGTTTAAAAGTCAAACATTTTCAAACGTAGAAAGTTTTAGGCTTTTGAACATCCAATATTTTTTTTTCTAGAAAATGTCTGAGATTCACTTTCAAATTTTTGAGATTTTTTGGCGGAAACTTACTCATTTTTACCTACACTGACCGTAATATGTTGTCATTGAACCTAGCTAAAGATAACATATTGGCTGGTCGGAAAAATGTAATAATTTAGAATTTTACATGAAAACACTTTCCGGGCTAACAAGGAACACCTAGTGGGTGGCAGACTCTAATGCTATGTCCTGACACTTGGGTTGTACCCAGCCTTCTTTGTAGAAACGTGTCTCTAGACTTTTTGCCCTACGACTAAAGGGAATGTCCTGTTCTGTTGTTTGTGGAGGTTTCTGTACAAAAAGCAAGTGGTTCAAGCTAAACCCAAAGCTGCAGGTTAGAATCTGAAAGCACGTTTGTTTTTACACGCATATTATTGTTTAATATAAACACAGAGGGAACATTTATTGTAAAATCTTACGCTTTCAAAACGGCCTAAAAGTCACACTTATGAGGGCCACACCTGTTGTTAGAGTTGTACAGTAACACAGAATTTAATATAGCACTAAAATACTTTTAGAATGCAGCCTGTTCAGATTTAATACTCCTTCATGTATTAACCTGTAGCTAATATTTTTTTCTCATCTAGAATTCTTGAAGTAATCTGACAGATGCATTCAATCTGTGTTATGGACTTCAGTTTGTTCATGTCGATGACAAACCGTCCACACGCACCAGGATTCTAAAATGTTGAGTGTAACACCTGCACACCATCGCTAGATGATGATGTCGTTAAGCAAGGATGTCATCATCTAGCCAAACCTGGAAACTTTGCTATTAGATTTAGTATTATTTTACACCCTTATAGTTTTGTTTTAAATATTTTTAAATGGGCAGATATTTATACATGTGACAAAGGTTACTAGCACTTTGTTGTTGATGCTTAGTGTTTTCAGTAGCTTTGTTGGCTGCTGTGGGTTTTGATCAATTTGCTGATTGGAAAATGCTAAAGTCTTTAGAAACATAAAATAACTCACTTTTTGCTTAACACTGAGCTAAAAGGCTATGAATGACGTCAATTTTCAGCTACAGCCTGTTCCACCTCCCCCCACATGGGACAACATCAATGGAGCTCACACAAAGACACGGACGTTCACATTTAAAAGTACTTACACTGTAGATACGTAAAAATAAATAATTTTAAACAATATATCTCTTTTGTATAAAGGAAGAGCTGTTTCCTGTACAACAATATACTCCATGTACAATCATAGGGTTAAACACCGCACATCTATTGCATTGGTTCTACAGACGGTGTGAAGAACAACATCGGTGTGACTCTTACCGAAAGAATTCATCAACCAGCAAACGCAGAATGTTTTAAATGAGGTCTAAAGGGAGAGCAGGGAACGCCGTTAGCTTCTGCTTGTGTTTCTGGCTGAGAGCGTAACATAAGGCAGACAAAACATCCTCCGTTTTTCTCTTTATCGCCCTCAGATGTTTCGTGTTGGGTAGCTACACGTCACACTCATCTGAGTTTTCAAAAGGAACAGTCAAGACACGCTAATTCTTTTAGGACGATGGCTAACGAGGCTAAAAGGTAGGATTTACAGGTCGGACCTTTTTTTTTTTTTTTTTTTTTACATTCGTAACATGGACTGTACAGAGTAATGAGAAAACGTAGACTCTCCACTCTCGGTTCTGGTAAGCTGTGGTTCCACTGCCTCTATTTGAAGTAGTTGAGCCCCGCCACCAGGAAGAATTTCTCCAGGAAGAGCTCAGAGTCCAGGACGGCGATGTGGGCAGCGCGGCCGATCAGCGTGTTGGCCGTGTTTGGCAGGGCGTGGAACACGTTCTGCCGAATCAGGTGGCACTCCTTGGCCTCCACCACCGGCTGCAGGAGGTTGTTGATCATCTCGGTGTAAACGGGCCCTTCAGGACAAAATGAGGGAAGATGCAGTGAGACAACATGAAATTGTCTTAAAAAAAAGTGTGTTATGGACTAAATTGTAATTTTTTTGTGAAAAGTAAATCACACTAGCCCGGTTCTAGAAAGTCCGGTTCGCTTAGGCAGGTGTGAATGTGTCATCGAACTCTGATACAGACCAAGAAAAGCGAATTCTAGTCTGAAAGAACCTCGGTCTTGGTTCGGTTGAAATGAACTCTGGTGAGATTTGAATGCATATGTGAAAGCAGGAAGCATTCTGGGTAACGTGTGTGTCCAGCCTGGCCAGGGCCTTCATGTGCTTTTCTATTGTCTTCATATCTCGCTTGCAGCTCAGTCTTAGTTTTCTCTCTTTGACTTGGATTCCTCCAGTAGAATTTATTCTTTGTTTCTTTTCTTTTTAAAGGTCTTGGCAGGTGTGAGACAGAAAAAAGTGGGTTGTGAGGGGGGAGACATGCAACACAGGTCATTAGGTCGGGACGCAAACCAGTGACAGCCACGACAAGGGTCTCCATGCATGGGTCAGCTTTACCCCTGCATGACCGCCACGCCCCTTCTGGTAAAATGTCTAATGGGCCAATCAGAGAACAGAAAGAAGTTGTGAACGACAAAGTGGATTTTCTGTTTTGTCTGTCTGTAGTTTTAGTGATAGCAGTAGAGGAAGTGAAGGAAGCCTTTCGGTCCGTGTTGGCCACGCCTCCAAATTAACATCAACAGCCAACTGGTTCGGCTCAGCACTTCTCTCTGCAGGAGAGGACGGCTGTTTACAGGCAATTTCAGGTAAGTACCGGTAATTTTCCAGTAATGAACCAGTTCAGTGCTTCGTAGCGTTGAACTGGTTCATTACATATGTCATGGACAAACATCAGGGATTGGGTCAAATTTAAACCTTCAACAAGGTCCAAGCCTCCGCCGAGAACCTGAACCCTCTGGACGAAGCAAACAGCGTAAAACGGGCCGATTTTTTTTTTTTTTTTTTTTTTTTCCTGTCCTGTGCCAGTGAGAGAAACGGCTCATGGTCTTTCACCAAAGACTAAAGAGAGATCCTACAAGCACGAAGATCTGACACCACTCCATTTTTGTTTTCATTTCATGCACTCTGTGTCCTCTTCAGACATTTCCTTCAAAAGTACCTTCTTGAAATGTTTTATTTTTGGTTTAAAGTGTTTGGCCCAAGATACAATTATGGATTTATAACCCTATGTTACCAAAATTAGACAAAATGACAACACGTTTGTAATTTTTCTTCTGGTGTTCCAAAGGTGCCCTTCTTTTCCACTTGAGGACCTGGCCCCTCAAAATGTCAGCACCCACCACGGAGCAGCAGAATATCATAAAAGACACAACCTTTGATAATTCAAGTTTTTGGAATCCCCCAAAATCTACACTTCTAACCTGTGGTCCTGTCTTTCAGGGCAGTCGTGCACATCTCTATCCTGGCTGAGTGGAACGGGACGTATCGGTCCTGTGGAGACGCCACCAACACCACATTCTTGAAGTACTGCAGCCCTAAAAGCCCAACAAAAAAACAAAACAAAAAAAAAAAAACCCAAAACAAAACAAACTGAATGAGATTGCTGCTTGTTTGAGAGAGAAAGAGAGCCAGAGACAGGTAAAGAGGGCAGGAGATGGAGGAAGGGGAAGAAATCAGTTGTAAAACACAGAGTACAATCATCAAACACAATGACGGGCTTGATATGATAAAGCTGTGTGTTGTTTTTCTTTTTTTCTTTGGTCTCCTGTTGGCGTGCTTTTAAGAGAGTTCACTGTTGAGTTACCAATGACAGGGTTTTGGATCATTTTGTCAGCCTGCTGCAGCTCTAGTGGAGAAGTGAAAGAGAGTGGAGCTGAGGGAGGGAGGGGGGGTTTCAGGCTTATCTTCTTCATGCCTGTGTGACAAACGGCTGCTTTGTTCCACACTCACAGTAGGGAGGCCTCTCACAGTTCGCTGGTGAAGGGTTTGCGTGTGTGTGTGTGACCAAGCTGACACACGGAAATTTGACAAACAAAAAAGATGAGATGACAACATTTTTTCCATGAATATTTGAACAGAGGGCCTTTCAAGTGGCAGGCTGTAAAGCGGGGCCGTCGGCTCGCTGCCTTTGTTCACGCCGTACCTGGTTTCTGACTCAGGAGGTAGAGGAAGGTTTTCCGCGGATCGACGTGATCTCTGAAGGTGAGCTGCAGCAAGGATCCCGACTTCTTCAGCTTCTGCATTAACCACAGACCTAAGAAACACACACACGCAAACACACACAGAAAAAAAGTTGGGGGAAAATCACTTTGCAATTTAAGAAATGACAAAATGTCAAACTTATGCAATATCTAGGCATTTCCATTTTGTGCGTACATGAGTATGATTGACAGTGCTAAGACCCTCTCCCTGGCTCTGATTAGTTGTTTCTGACCACAGGTTGGAGGCCGAGGATCTTAGTTTTTTTTTACAGATTACATGTTTCATGATGTCAGAACATAGTGACAGTTTTAGTAGCAAATATGTAAAATAATAAATAAATCATTTTTAGAAAAGTTGCCTACTACAGCTTTAAGAAGACGAACATTGGTATGTGCAATATATCAATGCATATACCATTGGTACATTGGTATATTCCCATTGGTACCAATGGTACCGGGAAAGAAAAGTTGTTTTTTTTTCCTGGAACAGATTAAATTCAGCTAAATGTGAACCAAATTTATTCAGAAACTTGGAAAAGTCAAAAATGGTTTGTATACAAGCACTAGAGCTATCCGGTCTGGAAAATGATGCACTTTTAAATGTGATTCTATTGCTAAAATTGAGATGTTTCCATTATCCCATACTGTTCAAACTGTTGTTTCTTCCAGTAAACCAAATCTCTACCGTTCTCTCACCAGTTTAACAAACATGTCAGGTTTGAACATGTGAGCAGTGAGTTCACCCAGCTGGATAAATGATATCAATACTGTGTCCAATCAGGCCGAAGCAATTATGGTATTACCATGACGATTCCAATACCATCCATTTATTGTGACAGTGAATGAACTTATGAAACCTTATACGTTTTTGTTGTTGTTTTTTTTACCGTATTGGTCAAAAACAATAAATGTGATACATTTTGTCCATATGTATGATTGAGAAGAAGACAAACAGGTGATCTCATGAAGACAAAGTGTTTTTCCAACCATCAGTCGATCATTAATGAAGGAACATCTTGTGACGGATTTAGTTTGTTCTGCTGTAAACAGGTGGTCACATAAAAGGTTAGTACACATAAAATATCCTCAACAGCACCATTAAGCAGATTTATGTGCTTTTTCAAAACATCTTTGTTCAGCAACTCTCTGCAGTTAAGTTAGACTCGCACCTACTTTTCAAGGTCCAGCTATACATCTAAGTCATCAAAAACACGACTTCCTGTGAAGAAAAAAAACGTTTTAGATTGGTCTTAGAGTCGAGAAAGCAATCAATCAGAAAACCAGAGTTCATCCAGGGCTGGTCGAGGCAAAAGTTAGCTTGGAAAACTCCAAAAAGCCTCCCAAGAGTGCAATTTTCTGATCTTATGTGAATTTTTTTGGTTTCTTTATGATGCCACATAAGGAGGAGTTTCTGTTCGAGATGTTGCCTCAGGTGAACCTGTTTAACTCACGTGATGTGAATTTTAATGAACACAGAAGCTTACATTAAACATCTGGGTGATTTTAAGCTGATTAAAGTGTATGTCAACTTCTGAATTAGAAAAAAAATTATATAAAATTTATTTTTTTACCAGTAATGTGGCATTTAGCGAACAAATGTAATTTTGATAATCTGATCTTACCACTTGGTAAGTATGCTGGTCTAGTTAGCAACCTTGAAATAAGAGAAAACTTAAGTAACTTAACTTAAGGAGCTTGTCATAAGTCAATATTTCCTTTAATATTGTCAAGAAAGTGGTACATTAATTTATAAAAAAAATTGAATAATGA